TTAAAAAATTTTTCCCCCTGTAGGGGATGTTTTTCTAAATTTTTTTTTTTTTTTTTTTTTTTTTTTTTTAGAGAGTATAGCCTGGCTGACAAAATGTCTTGTTGAAGAAAAGGGCCCCACAGCATGATACTTCTTTTCACCATCTCTCAACATGGAGATGATGTATTCAAGGAGATATGATGTGTTAGTTATCTGCCACACAGAGTTTTGCAAAGGCCAGAAAAGTAACATTCTGTCTAGAGCACCTTCTTCCACATGGGTGCTTATGGCACTCTGCAAATGTGACTTTTTTGACTGTCTTTTAACAGTAGCCTTCTTCATCCCTCTCTGCCCCCGGTCTATGAAGTGGACGTCTAATAGTTATCACGGCAAATGATTCTTCCACCAGAGCTCTGCGGCTCCTCCAGAGCTGCTATGAGCATCTCTGGTGCCAAATAAATTATTCCAAGTTTTATACAGATACTATTTTACTCACAGCTGGACTCTCTTTTTTGATTTCCTGAAGGCAGTTTAGTGTTTGGGATTTTATTTAGAGGCTGGTGGATTATCTTTGACTACCTGTATCAAAAGATTAAAGTAATGATCTTCAAGCTCAGGTGTCGACCTGCAGAAGTTTAAGTTACAGTTTTGAAGGCGAGTCCCCATGCAGTCTCTGATGCCCATGATAGAAGCTTCTCTCCATTCGTGCACCACCAAAACTGTTATGAATGGAAATTGACTGCAGGTCCTGCAGGTGATTCAGTGCCGATGTTTCAAGAGCGTAACCAGTTCTTTCTCCCGTAGCTTCAGCCTGTCCTGATGTTTTTCAGCTCTCTGTTTCTCATCAGAGCCAAACTTGTCTGGCACGGTTTGCCTCCTCTGCAGCTGAGTTTAATCACTTGTGCTTTAAGGATTATCCATTATCATGCACTTCTTTATTTCTTGAAAGTGATTATGACTAATATTGGCCTCTTTTATTTTTTTTTTTTTTGCAGTTAAAATGGAAATGCAAGAAAGATGACGAGCTGAATGGAGGTTATTCTCAAGACGTTCTGCTTAAGCTGCTTCACAAAGTGGGTGTCCTGAAATTTAACTTGTGCTGATCTGCTATAAATGTTATAATTTATTGAAATCCTTTTTTTTCACGCTCTTAGGGCTTCAAGAGCTAACTCTGAACCAACCTGCACGCAAAAGTCTGCCCTTATTTGAGGCCTGCATGACATCAGTGCTCTAGATTGTTTACACTTCCCCTTAAACAAGGCCTATTAAGTTTTGTAGCAGTGAAAGTGCTGAGGGCAATGTTGTAGTGCCCTTTAAAAGCCATGCACGGCATTGTTTGTGCCCCTCTTACCAGGTGATTAAACGGTACCAAGGGAGACTTTAGGAAATGTGCTGTTCTCATGCAACCCACCACCACCTTCTGCCACAATCTGTCATGAGGGTTTTTGGTGGGGTGCAGGTTGGCCTCAAACTGGGATGGGGCAAGTATCAGTGACGTCAAGTTGCCCAAAGTAATACAGCTGAATTTGTTCTGTTCACGAATACATCCAGTATGGTCTTAAAAAAAAGTGTTCCTGTTTGAATTTCTAGGCAAAGAAAATGTGTAATGTTTTTAATGGCAACCATGAGTGAGTGACAGTTAATGGTTTGGATAAGCAGAAATAGCCAACCCTCTGTGGGAAAATGCGGACGGTTATGAGTGTGCATGTATGCGTACGTGAGTGGACTTGTGTACTTTGGCTGCCTGCAATAACAAATCTTTGTTTAAAGGGGCAAAAAAAAGATGTTAAGATATTTATATTTCGTGAAATAGAAGCCTTTTGAGACTCTCCTTTGTCACTGTTGGCTGGACTCAGAGTGTCCTCAGTGAGCATTTGCATTCCTAGAGTTTCGAGTTCCCAGAAAGCTGAATTTTTCCCCCTCCTCTTTGCTCCCATGAAAGGCTAAAACAGGGAACAGGTTAATGCCAAATGGCCTTTTTGTAGAGTTGATAGAGCTAGACATATAAGAAGAAATCTTTTCTATTCTCTAATACTGTCTTAAAAAGCAATTGTATCATAACCTGTCTTTATTTCCATCATCTAGCCACCACTGTGGGAGAAAATATCAATTTCTGACCTATTCCTCTTTTACTCTCTTAGATATGTAGCTAGGAGTTAATTGCTGCAAAATTTTTCCAGTACTTCTTTCACTTTAATTTCAGTGTAGTTCAATTTCCAAAGCTTTAGACATAACATTCAACATCGTGAAGACTTTTATAATCAAGATGAGAAACTATGGTGCATTTGTGACATTAGTAAGAACTGAAAATCCCCCCCAAAATTGATGAAAAGATAAGAAAACTAGTCCAGGATGCTGTCATGAGTCAGCATGAAACAATAGTCACCTATATTTTTTCTATGTCTGGGCTTCTTTCTTGCCGTCCTATCTAAGATCTGGAATAGCAAGACAGATCTTTCTCTCTCAAAGAAAAACATCCAAGCCTGACTAATGTTTTCGTCTTCAAGAAAAATAGTGACTGAATATGTAATGGTGTGATGAAACAAAGGTGATTGTTTCATCCAGCTATTGTTCCAAATGATACAGTTTTCTTCATGTGGAACTGGAGTCTGTATGTTGGATTTATTTTTTTTACATCACCTAAACTTGCCTTTGTCTCGGGTGTGTAAACTTTATATTTTATACGTTTTTTCTTGTGAATACATGTGATCCAAAAAACAAAAAAAACAACAACTTTTCTCCAGTTCAGTAAATTGCGAACTTGTATTTCTCAAATCTGTGATATTCAGCACTGTGTTGAATCTTGACTCTACATATGTTTTTGTTTTCATGGTTATGGATTATACTGTGAAAGGAAATACTAATTCAAATGTTCTGCATCTTTCTTTCCCTTCCACCTCATGCTTTTATCCTCCTGCTGTGTCATCTAGTACGGGGATGTTTTAAATGTGATCGTATCGAGTAAGAAGAAAGGAAGTGCTGTTGTGGAGTTTGCATCTGTGAGAGCAGCTGTAAGTACCCGAGGCCTTCACATTTACTGTTCTGGTTAGGATCTCCTTAGGAGACTTTTTGGATTGAACCACATTAGTTCATCACTTGCCACACAGTCTTAGAACGAGTTTTGAGTTAGATTATTACTAGGAATAACATCTGACAGACGTCCGGACACCAAGAAGTTGTCTTTGACCTAAAATGATCCCGTGCTTTCAAAATTGTTGCACTGATTGGAACCATCGAACTGAAGCACTTGAGTCATTGTTCCCCATTGTCTGGCTCCGCAGGCTCTTTTTAGCTTTGGTGTTCCTTTGTTTGTCGTCTCCTCTCAACACAACATTTCTGTCAGTCTACTGGATTTAGGCAGTGATCGTGGCATTTCTGTGGCTTCAGAACCTTGCGAAAGTATTTATACCCATTGAGCCACAAACTTCAATGTGTTTTTATTGGGATTTTGTGCAAACAGACCTGCACAATTGCATGCTCCTACATTTTTCTTTTAGCAAATAAAAATCTGCAATTGCACTAAACCCTTGTGCATCAACAACTCTGCTCAAATTCACTGGGACTTTGTTGAGAGCAGGTGTGAACATACATTTTAATATCTCAGATTCTTAATTGGTTTTAAGTCTTTACCTTAACTGGGCAATTCTAGCAAATTAAGATAACTTTATTTAAACTGTACAACTTTTGCTCTTGCTGTATGTTTAGGATTGTTGTGCTGGGAAGTGAATCCTCATTTTAATCCAGTCTCAATGCTTTTGCAGGTATTCTTCTAAGATTGCCCTGTACTTAGCTTGACTCATTAACTGTAGGCAAGCTAAGTACAGTACTGCCTGCCCCTGATACAGTAAAGCATTTGCACAGCATGATGCTACCACCAGCAGCCGCTGAATCTGTTGAAGGGACAATTCACATCAAACGTTTCAGATTTTTATTTCATAACTAGATTATTTTATTTATTTTTTTATTCTGGATTATTTTCCTTCTCCTTCCACTTATACCCTACTTAGTGCTAATCTTACCCCAAAAACCTTATAAAAGACATTGAAGTTTATGGTTTATAATATGAGAAAATCTGAAAAAAAAAAAAAAAAATGGGCACATTATACAGGAAATTTTAACTGCAACAGAATATTTCTGTTTGTGCATCTGTTTCGCTAAACCAACATTTAGCAAAGGTATATTACAACTTCATGCAAAACATAGAGATCAAGTAGCTTAATTAATGCTAATACTATTTAAATATCTCATTTTAGGAACTGGCTGTTAAAAATGAAAGTGGGCTGAGTGGTAACCCCTTGAAGATTACGTGGCTGGAAGGACAGCCTGAGGTTGTCGCTGCAGCATCCCAAACCGGCCATTTCATGTCTTCACAGGTACTTTTATAACACAGAAATGTATTCTTTTAAATTTCTTTCTGCTCTCATAGGACATGAACTCCCCTGTGTTACAAAGTATTGCTGGTTGCTGTTTCTCCAACAAAAATATTAACCTCCCTGTAGAAAGAGTTATGTAAATGTTCAGATTTTTTATTTATTTATTTATTTTTTGTTCTTCCATATCAACGGTTCAAATGTTGCCCCAGAGTTTGCACTTTTGTTCTTTTTGGCCACAATCAGTGTGGTCGGGTAAGTGGACCTCAGTTTATTTGTTTTGGAGTGGTGAGGCGGTGGCCTCTCACTGGTTCAGAGAGCCTGGTTGGGTGCTCATTAATGTAACTGACCTGGGAGAGTCCAGGAATGCTTCACTTCACACGGCAGCCAAGGGGAGGCACTGTGCAATAATGACAGCCAAACATGTCAGCCTGACTCTCAGGATTGTTTTAAGAAAAGCTTTTGTGCATTCATACTGGTGTTTGTGGACTTTAATCCTTAGGTTTTTATCCTCAAGTTTAGTTTAGATTTTTTTTTTTTTTTGTCTTTTTACTTGGGTCCTTTAAAGATGTGCAACTTCTTATATTGAGCTTTTGTAATATTTTATTTTTCAAATCACTGTAAAATAGTCAGGCAAATATCTATTAAATAATTTTTTGTAGCATCAGAGGGACATGATAAACTATAATAATGATTTCAAATAAGTTGTTAGTTATTATTAAGTAACAAATAGAAACCTGTCTCCTCTGCTCTGGTGGTTCTGCCACCTCTGCCTCTCCCTGTTTCAGCTGGAGGGACAAGTTGATGTTGACAAGTTGATGCACCAATCAGAAGAGGGCTTGAGATAGTGATGGAGACATCACCTATTGAGACCAAAAAAAAAAAAAAAAAAAAAAAAATGCCCCTTGCAGATAAAATAGGTTTCGTTGACTGCACCTTTGGTCTGGCGAGGTTGTCTCAAAAAGCCCTCGAGAAAAGGAGTTCTTGTAGGGAAAAGGTTACATCTCATGTGTGGGTGTGCATTACAGTTTCCAGAAAAGACATTTCCTAATTCAACTGAGATTTTTTAAGCATTTTAAGATTGATCCAGTCTGCACAACTTCGTTCCTAAATTCATCAGCTTCTCTGTCAAAAATGTCTAAATGTTTTTCAATCAGGGGACTTTTTCTCTGCACTTATCTGTGTCTCTGGTTTCTGGTGAACTGTATTTCAACCCTCAGCCCAGTGAGGGGTGTCAGACCTCCTACATGGGGTTAGAACCCGAGACTCAGCCTGCGCACTGGGACTTGTCATTCTAATCTTTTTAAATGCTATTATACTAACTCAGTTTGCTTTACTGACATCCAAAGCTGATTCTTTTATACTTTTTTTCTTAATCTTTTTTTCTCTGCAACCATGTATGAAAATGTTATTTTGATTGGGTAATTTTTCATTTGGCCCTCAACGCAATACTTGTCCGTTAAGAGATGCCAGACAGTTACAGTATACACTGTAGCTATTGTAGATTTTGTCTGGAGGTAGTGGGCATTGATTGGGTGGATTCTGGGGAAACAAAAAAACCTATTTGTGATCTAAACATCTGATCTCTCCCTGGTTCCCCAGCTTTGGCCATCTGTAACTACATAGGGTCAAAGTGGGTCAGGTCTTGCTTCTTTAACCTCATCAGTCCAAACACAGTGCTCGGCAGGCCACGGTGGGACTAAAGAGAGCTTAAAGACACAGATGACTTCACCCCAGTTCTCGTTCCTTTGCATTCTTGGCTCAATACATGCATCTGGAGTCAATGGGGCTTTTCTAATAAAGAAGGGAGCTGTGTAATACTCTCCATCATGATCCCTTTCTAAGAATGTTTAACACGTACAAACTAAATAAAATCTTAATATTTGTCTAACAATAAAAAATTTAAAAAAACTCATTACTCGGAAAAAAGAAGGCATTTTAGGTTCAATCTTTTTGCCGTCACTTTGGATGAAACTATTTACAAAACATCAATTTAAATAATATGCTGGACCTGCTGAAATTTCTAAGTGAAGCACAAAAGAAGTGAAATTCATGCAATACATCATGCTTATTCAAGGATATAAATGTAGACGTATTAATCAGTGGCCCGAAGAAAGAAAAGCCATAACTCTACAATGGATTTCCATAAACTCCTGGATACAGAAAAGGTTTACGAATTAATCTCACGAATACTGGCTCCGTTTTTCCTGAACTCATAAAAAGTTCAAACTCCTCCCCAAAAAGCTGGTTTTTGATGTTTTTTTTTTTTTTTTTCAGTCCGCCAGCCAACACATTTTGTAAATCTCCAGACCGCTTTCCTTTATTTTAATAACGGTGTTAAAACTTGTTTCAATTCACAAAAGAGAAGAGATGCCATGGCATGATTCATCTCATTAATTCCTGTCAGGAAATCGTGTTTATGGTTTCTGTTTTTTTTTTTTTTCTGTAATTTTCTGCCTTGTAAGTTGGAATAAAAGGATAAAATATCATATGAACTGCCAGAGTCAACAAGCAGGTGGTGGAAATGTATAATTTGAGCAGTTTTGTGGCTCTGTTTGCCTGTAAGAATCCCCCAAAATATGTTTTTATAAAATTGTCTCCTTCAACATATTGGTGGCCATATCAAACAAATTCACGCCTAACGCCACTGTACCTACAAATTAAATCTCTTCTAAGTCGGGCTCATGCTTGCAGCTTCAGAAAGAGGATTCACACATGGCCAACCGTATAGCTTACAGTCTAATAACTGATAGACTGTAACTGCAGTACTTCCACAGATGTCTGCCAAGACATATGCTTGGGTCTCCTGGGAGATGATCTCAGCATTAATCACTGTGTGTTCATGGTTCAATTTAGAATATCGTATTATTTAAGGTTAATACATCACACAGCATTTAAATCAGAGTTTTATATGCCTGCCTCTTCCATCGAGACCCAGAGTCAACTCGGGGTTGTCACGACAGAACCAGATGCATCAGATGAGCTATTCCTGGACTTTTTTTTCCCAGTGTGCTGGTTTCCTAGTGCCTGAAAAGTGGATTCTGAGAAAATATCCCTTCTGTCTGAGTAGATGCGTAGCGTGTGGCCCCGCCATCGGTGTGCTGAAATCTAGCTTGAACCCTTTTCTTTTCGGACACGAATGTGTAAGAAAAAGATACGCTTACCCAGATTGTATTATTGTTTAGTTCTTATGGCTCTGAAAGTTAAGTCAAAATGTTTGACTTAATTTTAGGTTGTTTTTTCAAGACTATATAATATTATTACATTATATAATATTAAAGCTGTGAGATGAGTTCATAAGTTTCACTTTGACATATATTTACATTTAGTAATGTTTGTGAACGTTAATCACATTTTGCCACATTACACCACAAACCTCAATTAATTTAAATGAGATTTTATGTGATAGACCAACACAAAATGTAGCATAATCAGGTATTGTTTGTAGCATCTGTTCATTTTAATCTGATGCCCCTCCAGTTCATCCAGTTGCCCCCAGACTACTAATCGTTATTAAATGGAGCTTACCTGTTTTATATAAACAGAAAATAAACGTACATTTGAAGATTTAACTCCTCTTATTTGGTCTACAATTTTGTCTCATTGCAGCTGCCCTACTTAGCACTTTTATTTTTCATTTGTGAAGAAATTGAGCTATAATCATTGTGAGTCATTGTCGCGAACAAGGCTCCAGCTTTAACTGAGTGGTGCAACACCTGGCAATATTCACCTTTATTGTGTTGATTTAGGCATGCCTCAGAGCAATGGAAATCATCTAAGCCAGTTGTTTTCTTAAATTAATTGTACTGCAATATCTTTGAAGGTAAAAACAGACATGTTTTAATATATATTACCGTCCATTTCCACATTGAATTATTTGTACCCAAGACTGGGGAAAAAAAAAAAATGCTTGGACATCAGTGAGATGCAAAACATAATCCATCCATTTTGGCTTCTTTTGCTGAGAAGCCAAGTACATGTCGGCCCCTTGTTGTGTAAACAGTCCCATTCAGTTTATCCACAAAACCACCAATGATGGGATTTGAATGGTGTACATTTTTTTGCCTACCAAATCAAAGTACAAACCGGTAGATTTTACAATGCAAAAAATGCTTTCACAATAACTTTTGTCATAACACATACAAGAAACAGAGGTATCCAGTTTAAAACATCAGGCACCAAAACAGAGATACAATGCAGATGTATCCAGGATTAACGCTGTTTCTGTTTGGACATGCATACAATACTGAGTCTTTTGCTTGAAGCAGGACATTTGTGGTTTTTGTATTTCCCAGCTTGACCTATTAGGGTGCAAAGGAATTTAACATTTTCTGGGCTTGTCCCACATATCATCCTCTCAACCCCCCTCATTAGTAGACCTCAACTGTCTGCACAAATTCCCACTTGGATGACGTGAGAAGAAATGCGATGCATATACATGAGACGCAGCATGTATTTGTTTAAGTCCTCATCAGGACCTCTGCTGTCTCCCCCTTCCTCTCCAGCCTCCCTGCTTGTGTAGATGTATAGTGTTGCTCACCGCCACTTTCTTTCTTGAGCGCCATCCGCCAGATCATCGCACTTTGATTTGCAGCTAACAAAACAGCATGCTCTGCCATTTCTTTCTTCTTATAAGGTCTTGGACCTGTGGCCCGGCTTGGTATGCTGCCCAACCTGCCACCACTGGCTGGCTTTTATTGGAAGCAGAGCGAAATGTTTGTTTTCACTGTACTGCTGGGAATGAGAAATGGGGGGTACCTTGCTCTACCTTCGAGTGGGGCCGCCAGGATGCGTGCGGAGGAAAAATTGCCCTGTGCACACAATAGACGGGCAAGCACGCCAAGACTCTAGACATCACAGCTCAAGGACCTTGGATTTCAGCCTCAGCTTTTCTTTTCTTAAACACAACACCCTTAAATCCTAACAGCTGCTTTGAGTGTGGGCTGGGAGGTTATAATAGTAAAGAGGAAATGTAGATGAAGTTAGAAATGCCCAGACATAAAAAAAAAAAAGTTCATATCTTTACCGTTCTGTTGTTGGCAAATGCTGGTTACCATAATGTTCTATGAACAACATCATGTTCTCCTTAGAGTAACAAGATGTTCATTTGTTTGTTTGAGAATGTCTTTATTTGTGTGCCACTGCAGCAAGTAAGGATCTTGGGAAGCAGCAAATGCAAGCTTTTACTTTATTAAGTATCCTTGTTAATAAAACAGTGTTGGGTCTTCCAAAGAAGTGATGACGTCAGTATTTCGCATAGTTGCACAGTTTGTCGATGATCTGGAGAACATTGTTCACGAATGAGTTTGTCCAGATCCAGGCTGAATAAAGAGCTACTGTCCTCGTAAATTGATCTCCAGTTTGGTCACAGCTCTCTGCAGACTCTTTGTGCAGACCAGGACCAGGCCCGCAAATTGAATTATAAGCAAAATTATCCAGTGTTTGCTACACTTTATCGTGTCCTCATGGTTATGCAAAGTTGTGTCCCAAGAGGAGTATTAAGTTAAATTCATTTTCCAGCAGCCAGTGTCTTACCAAGTTGTTCAAGGTTCTTCAGTTGTGCAGTTTGTCCATCACCCCAAGAACATCCTCCAGGATTGAAGGGCCCAGGTCCAGGGTGAATGAGAAGCCACTGTCCTCATCCTTAAATTCATCAATGTGTTCACAACTCCCTGTGAACTCTTGATCTCTATCAGAACCCACGCTGCCACATCCAGGACGGCAAGTCTGATTAGAAGCAAAGTCATTCCTCGTTTCATCCACTTCCTCGTTTTCGCACTTATCTTCTTCCTCACTATCCAGAAGAGGCAAAGAGTTGCACTTCTTTCTCTTCTGGTCCACAGACCACTCGGGGCTCTGCATTCCCTCCGTTCCATCCAGGTTCAGACGCGGGGGCTTTGGCGGTGGCTTGCAGCTCAGGAAGAGGTTCTGTTCGCTCTTGGAACTTTGTCGGAGCAGGCTGTGACTCATTTTGAGGAAGGATAAATCTCCAAAACTGTCGTCTTGGCCATCGCTCCCAATGTGAGAGACGTGCCGGAAATCACCAAGGGGTAGACTGATCATCTCGACAGATAGCACTTCTCTCCTCTTTGAGATCCTGCTGGACCAGCGGCTGGAGGATGGATTTCTGTACAGCGACGTTTTAAGTGGCATCCTGATGGATTTACTGGAGTTAGACTTTGATCTCTGTGAATCCTCAGGAAATGACACAGCCTAAATACATAGTGCCATCTGCAACAACAAAAAAAAAGACAATTAGGATTTAGCAAATGATAGTCTGAAGCAAGTCTGAGCTTGTGCTCGTTCTGGTATTCAGCACCAGATGTAAGTGCAGAGGTCTGTTCTCAGATTTAATGAGAATTGACAGCCATTGTTTAGAGACTGCACCTGTTGGACTCGATCGTAGCGCAGTGAAATTTAGTATTATTTGGCAGGAGAAGGATGACCCAGCAATGCTTTGAAGCCTTTGTTTATAAATATTTATTTTCCAAATCCTAGGTTCTTCCCATATGTGCAGGTGTGGTCTTCTGCATAACCTCCAGAGGAAGTCTATTAATCTACTTAAGGAATTCCAGTAAGAAAAGCAAAACACTGCAAACACCAGAAGAGTAATTGCTTAGTGTTTTGGATCACTTCACACAGTTTTTAAAGAAGGATGCATTTTTCTCTCTTTAACTGTCAGAAATCAAAATAAAATTGATGTGGAAAACAAAGTGGTGGATTGAGTGAAGACAATTTTTGTAATCACCTCAGATGGTGGAGTAAAGTTAAATTAGATGCAGTTATTCCTCTAACAATGTCACTATTTTTGGCAAAATCTCAGGTTTGCTATGCAGACTGGAAAAGTCAGTAATTATTAGCTTTTATAATACATTCCAGTAAGTATAGTAGAAATAAAATTAAATTCAGTGTGGGGAGAAAAACATTTTGTTTTTCCATATGTTTTTCTTTCTTTAATTATCCTAACTGATGAAAGTCTATTTTTTCAATTGGTAGATTGATTTTAAATTGATTTTTACATTAAATGCACGTGCTTTATCTTGATTTGTATCGCTTTATCCATCACCATTTTTGCCTTTTCACTCACGAACCGAGCGGACTCTAATTCGAAACTGACTGTAAAGTGCCAAACAAAGCATTACAACCTCTATTTTTGGACATTTTTATAAAAGGATAAAATTACTGGAAGTGATAAATCAGATTTTAAAGAGTCTGCATTTAGTCCAGGAGGCTTTTTTAATTATAGATTTTAAAAATGGATGTGATTTATGTTCAGATGCATCCCAGGCTGTGGCCCTATTGTGCATGTTATACCAAAACCGTAAGCTACTTTGGGCAGATGGTACCACTTGACCATGTAAGCAAGTTTTAAATGAATACCTTTTACTCGAATGTCTGTAATTTTCTGGGAAAAATTTAAAGTACTGAGTCTGGAAAAGAATTGTTTTGTAAAACAAAATCTATAGCAACCGTGATATCTTTCAAATCCAAGTTTTAAATTCTTCATATTAGGCAACATCTTGCATAAACGGTAATTACGTAGCATCTAACAGAGGAAGAGTATTTGCATTTCGTGACCTGTAAGCATTTTATTTCCAAAACCAGAGCCCTGTTCATCAACTCTGGCATGTCGATTAGATAATCTCCTCGCAGTAAATGATTTTTACAGCTTTGCCCACATTAGCTCTACATTCGTGACTTGAAACACTAACTCTGTAAATTTGTAAGCCACTTCAACAAACATGCTCCGTCGGGCTGTAAAACGTTTTATCGGCACTTTAGCAGCAGCGGGAGGTTGAAGAGTGTGGACACAACAGCATTCCTTTCCAAACATGTCAGGTCAACCAAAGAGGAGTGTTATGATTCAGCTGTGAGGAAACACCTCATGGCTAAGTAGAAGTTCAGCTCAATAAAACAGATTGACCAAAAGAACACAGTTGTTTTATTTATTTGACCTTTATTTACACAGGTTGTCTCATTGAGATCCAAGATCTCTTTTACAAGAGAGACCTTTTAGCTATTGCTTCTCTTTCTAAGAGCTTTCCTCAGCTCCAGGTCCATAATAAATAATGAAATGGGTTTTCTCTCCAAGCAGCATGTCTGGATTGACTAAAAACAATAAAACAGTTAAAAACGGATGACTATATAAACTTACCAGTCTCGGTGCTGTAAAAAAAAGAAATCCGGGATATTATAAGCCCACACATGCACACCCGCCTCAGCCAGGAATCTATGCTGCTTCTAACTGCACAAGCTCTTCGTCGACAAGATAAGACTTGTCATTCATCAGAGAGCAATGCTTACTTCCCAGCTTTGAAACACTGACACAAAGGTGTAGCCTATTCCCGAAGAAGGTTAAAGAAGATTTCATTTAGGATTAATTACTTTTAACTGCAAAGAAACAGTTCTTACCGTTTTCAGCTGGAGAGAGCGCTGTTAGTTCTTGGGCAATGAATCGTTTTTTTCTTTTCAGTCGGCATAAAATCTGGATTGCGCTGCAGAATCACCTCCAGGTGTGTTGCTTGTGAAAGGCCTCCTTGCGTAAATGATAAACCAGAGGAGGTCAGAGTACAAGGGCATCCAGGTGGAGGCTTTGCTTGTTTTTTTTTTTTTTTTTTTTTTGTCTCAGTTTTTGTGAAGTCAGCCTATTTCAGAAAGCCTGCAAGTCATCAGAACACACCATCGTGACTGCAGAGCAAGTCTGCCCTGCAGGGATAGGTGTTACAGTTGAGTTTTGCCGTTTGATTGGCTGCACCCTTTACCTGTGGGGGAAGTAGGTGGCAAATTGGAGCAGCTCATTTCTTCCATGTTCCATGTTATTAGTAAAGATTGAAACTTTGCTGGATGGTTTAGTTCCAGAGAATATGCTTGAAAGAGAGAGGTGAGAAAAAAAAAATAGTTTTAGGCTCCACTGATTGCGTGCTTATTAAAGGAAGTTGTAGTTGGTGAGCAAACAGGTTGATCACAAAGAGGAGGGGGGTTAACAGATCTCTAATCTCCACGCTATTATCCCTTTTCTTTGCTGATTTCCTGATTTCCCGTCTGCTGTTGGCTTGTGTAAAGCCCCACAGTCAACCCCACTCCACAGGCTCTTCTGCCTGAATGGAGGCCTTTGGCTTTTCTGTATAATCAAACAACAGACATGTCTGAACAGGCACCCTGGGTTTCACAACTGAAATAACCGGCTGTTTCCAATTCTCACGCCTCCAACATGTTACGTTTGCCCTCGTATGGTGAGGCTGTAACGAACTGTAAACCGTCTCAAAACAACACGTTTTCTGCTCTGTTGTACTGATTGCTAATAGTCAATGGCAAGAGTCGCATTTGCTTATTGACTGTATAACTTGTGGTTAAACCCCCCTTCCCCCCAAAAAAACAGCTGGAATAAAACATGAAGTTTTCTTGTGAGATGCATGAAACTGTGAAGTACGAGGGTAGCAGGGTCATCTTCTGGGGTATTGTGGTTCATGAGGGACTGATTCATAGCACAAAGTCAATGATGACATGAAAGAATATAATCTGGAAATATTGAAACATCTCAAAACATGAGCCAGGAAACTAAATTTTCTGCACAAATGTTGTTTTTTTTGTTTTGGACAATCACCATAGGCAAATCACCAACATAGTAACAAAGTGACTTAAGGACAAAAAGAAAATTATGTTTTGGAGTGACCATGACAACTTTCCGATCTTAGTCGCATAGAAACTCTGTGAAAACAGCTGAAAGGGTGTGTGAGTGAGCAAGGCGCATTACAAATCCGACAACCATGTCAGGAGATATGGGCCAAAAATCCCCCAAGCTATTGTGAGAAGCTTGAAGAAAACTCAAAACGCTTGACCCCAGTCATATAGCGTAGAAGGTCAAGTCTATCTTGTAGACCTCTGTAGAAAGTCATTCAAATTCTCGCAAATTATCTTTCATTATTCTTGAATTTCATGGATATAAATCATTTTGGTAATCCCAACTGACTTAAAACAGGAAAATTTTAGTTGGATTCGATAGCAAACAATGAGAATAAAAAGGATGGGTGACTTTTTATACAGTGTATGTAAACATCTGGTTTCAACTGTAATTCTGTCAAAATATTTCCAATGCGTTCAGGCATAAAGGAGGAGAGCTTTGTACACAGCTTTGTCTTGTTCTTTGATTTTAAATATGCATGTTATGAAGGAGAAATCCTTTTTTTTTCAGTATTCCTTTTAAATTCATCCAATAAACAATAGGCGTGCCGGCTTTTCCTCTCTTCTTCTCCCGCTCCATGCTCCAGTGCCAGGACAGTCTCCAAGACCAGACACAATTCCTCACGCAAATGAAACTAGAACCTCCAGCCAAGTCTGAAAGAACATTTTACAGCATCTCCCTTATGAGAAAAACTTCCGTCCTGCACCTACAGCCACAAAGCTGCTTTTATACCAGCAGGCACTCAGGTTGAAGAGCCTGTATTAAACGCAGTATTTGGAAGTGAGCTCAGAAGACCTGCAGGCTGACAGAGGCTGGGCTTGTTCCGCTGATGGTGTTCTCATGCTATGTAGCCTCCGGACTGCTAGGTTTAGCCTGAACTTCATTTCAGTATAAACTTCTTTTCTAAGGCCTGACCATGGTGGGCAGTGTGGTTTGATGCAGCTATGCTGGGCCTGAAATCATGCTTTTTCTTCTTTCTGCAAAAAAAAAAAAGTGTTTCCAGATATTGCTTTGACTGGTGCTAGAAGCCCAAACTGAGGCTTTGGTGGATCCTCCCCGAGCTCTTTGTTGTGTGTTCTTCAGCTCCCTCTGTGCTAAGGCTCCTAGACGAGCTGCACTTAAACAGGATTTACTGCTTGCTTTGTCTGATTCCCTTTAAGTAAGACTTTGTTAAATCATGTCGAAGATGGCACACATAGCTGAACTGAAATCAGTCGGCCTGTATTTCACTGATGGTTCCTCTAGAATATATAAAGCTCAGATTTGGGATTAAGTTTTAAACTGAAGCTAAGGTTCGTCCTTTTTTCACTTCTTGGAACAGCTTAAACCTGACTTTTCAAGGTGTTTATAGAGAAATGTTGCAGTGTCACAGTGTTTTGATCATTGCAAAAATCCTAAATGGTAAATACAGGGTTTTTTCTGCTTATTTTGTTTGTGTTAATCAATGTGCAATCAATTTAACCATTTAATGAGGGATGCAGTCCAGCACAGACCCACACCTTCACCTTCAGTTCTCCTTTTTTAAATAGAATCAACTCACAATAAACGTGAACTTATGGTACCATACAAGACACACGGTACCCAATGTAGATTGGAATTCAGACAAAATTGAATTAAAATCAATCAAATTAATTTTTTGGCAGTGCAGACATTTAATCGGAGTGATGTCTAATAAAATGCAGTCAGATTCAGTTTATCACTTCTGACCAGCCTTTGAGGTCTTCATGGAGGGGACTAGTTTCTTGGGCAGGATATTGTTAATTTTGTCAATATTTTCCAGGTGAAAGAAGGGTATCCAGATAAGCCAAGACAGGAAAGGGGGGGCAGAAAGTTGAAAGTGGGAGACAAAAATAAAGAATAAAAATAGAGAATACAGGAAAACACCCTAGCATTTCTGAAAACGGTTACCAAAAATTTTATAGCAGTATTTACATTCAGTAATCATGTAATTAAAAACATTTTATTTATACTGATTTAATGCATTGCTGCTTGACCCAGTTTCTGTTTACAATCCTGAAGTATTTTACTTTTGAACTCACTTGAATGATGCACACCTTAGTCATCGTGGTTCAGATGAAAAGGCAAGTTGAGACAATACTTCTTCAACCACAACATTAAAGTCATGCTTTTTTATGATAGGACCAAAGATTGAAGCCTTTGTTTTCTTTTAATCAGAATTGGATCACAAAAAACATTTAACTTCCTGGCTTTATTTACACACACGCTGATGAATCAGATTGAACTTCTCAGAAGTTGGCAACAGAAATGAGACATGCTTTTTGCAACCCCGTAGCAGTTTCTTTTTCTGAAAACCTTTATTCCTTTGGGACTAAATAAAAAAATGCCAATTGCATATCTGCTGCAACTTTTTTTTTTTCTACTTAAGAAGAATCAGAAAAGCAGGTGTAATAATATATCATTTTAAAGCAGTCATTACTGGATACAAAACCACGTTTAAATCATGGTATGTTGGCTTCAACTCATTCAAATGCTTAAAAGAGGGAATGAAGTTAACAAAAAGCAGAAATCTTCAATCCAATGAAGCATTTTGAATTTTTGTAATTTCAGCCTTTTTGACAGCCTTCAGGTTAAAGATTTGAAGCCTAACAGTTGCACAAACTCATTTGTTTTACTAAAGAATATCTTGCAATCAGAGAGCTTTTCCAGGAACCCAAATATGTGAGACGTAATTTTGCAAAAATATATTGTTGGAAATCAAGCGAGGCAGAGGCCCTTCTTTTCATTTTTTTATGATTTTTTTTTTTTTAAAGCCCATCCATCAAATAGAGAAATGCCAGGAGGTAAGGTCTTTGTAGCCATTTTTCATTTCACTGTTTATTTCTTCTACTTCTGCAGATTCCAAAGGCAATCTCTGACTCCATAAAGCAGAAGTCTGTTCAGATTAAAACATTGACCACCGACAACCACATGCCGAGCGAAAGCACCGTTGCTCATACGTAAAAACACAAAGCTTTGAAGCTCTGAAAGATTTACCTTTCGAATTCATAATCTGTTTATGCCTTCTGAAATCTATAAACAAAGGTCTACAATCCAGCCTGCTTTACACTGGAGAAAAAAAAAATCACATTTTGTCATTATCCCTTACTCTGAGATCGTCATTTAGTCTGAAAGTTAGGTACAAGTACCGTGAGAAGATCAGGAGGGAGTCTCCTTCATTTTTTGCTATTACTGCCATTCTGTTTTTCAAATGGTATTTTTCATAAGTGCTATGTTGAAGTATTTGAATTGCATTTGTCCTTCTCTTTGGCTACGTGACTTGCACAGTAAAACAAACAAACAAAAAAAAGATGTTGGACTGTCACAGTCAAATGCTTGCAAGACGCACATGAAGACAAGAGACACATATGAGCAAGTGTTTCAGTTGTTTTTAACCAACAGAAACTGGATAACTTCATACATCTTCTGTGTTTTATAATGAGTGATGATTAATTCACTACTGAGTGCGACGCTTACGTTTCGTCTGCGCAGGAATGCCACTTTGGCCCTTCTTTTGTTGCTCCAGCATTTGACACACACACAGACACACACACACACACACACACACACACACACACACACACACATCAAAAAGATTTCTAAATTTAAGTGTGTAAGAGTTCGACTCCCATAAATCACATAACCCAGAGGTTGTGACACACAGAAACACACGCTATGCCACCGCACACACACTCCAGACAAATGGTACCGTGATTAACCTGACCACACTGCATTGCAGACTGAAATGTTAGCCTGAAACACAGAAAAGGCTTTGGAGGGGGGAAAACCCCATTCTTGTCTCGGATATCTGTCCAGTTACTTCTTGGCTCAGCGACTGTCTACATAAAGCTCTCCAATGACTGCTGGTATCAGTGAGTAATCCATTATTCTGTAATCTGTCAGGCTGCAGTGCTCGCAGCATGGAATGACAAGTATTTTAACAAGACGCGCTCATCGTACTCGTGCTGTAACTTGTCGTTTTTATCACATACACACGCCGTCGCCTGTACTTCACACGTACCAAGAGGAGTGGCGTAATGGGAAGTGGATCTGATGAGTTGCGCTGGGGGAACACGATGACCACCTGCTGTGTGTTAAACTGGCTGACTCACGGAGCTGATGCTGTTCAGGATGCCATAACTGTTCTGGGGTCAGGCAGGACTGAAATCATCTGTGCTGATGTCATATAGCTAATTGTCATGTTGTTTCTTCGTATAGGAACATATCACAAGATTTGAATTTGAATGAAAAGATGATTTTTGTAGATTAGTGAAACTCGTGTAGGTTTTTTTCTTACACATTTCAAGTGTTTACATTTGTTCATTTTGATGTTTATGGCTTACTGCTGTTGAAAACCTACAAAAATGTAGTGTCTCAGAAAATGTTAATATTACATAAAACTTATAAAAAGTGCCACTTTATTATATATATAATGTATGTATGTAATTTCATATTGTCTTTTTAATCGTGTTTTCATTTTTTTGTGGAATACACATTTTTGAAGCTGCATAAATATAATTTACTTCCTTTTTTGCAAGTTGAGGTTGCAGCCTTCAGCTTGTCTGTGTAATTAGCTCTGGTGCCTATCGTCCATAATTTCAGTCTGGTCTGCAGCGCAATCAAGCAAAGTAACATAAAGGTTCAACCGAACCTTCTTTTGGCACCACTGACAGCGAGGACAGGTGCCAAGGTTATCAGGAAAGGGGAACAATTAGTGGTCTAAATACTTCCTGGTAGACTGTTGCTCATGCAGCCCATAACCTTGATATGTGTGTGTGAAAGCACTGACTCCAGCCACAGGCTCTTCCTTGCACACTTGTTTCCTACCACACTTTTTCCTTCCACAAAATGTTCCACTGCTATTGCCCGCTTAGGCATGACTTTTTAAGACTTGTTAAGAAATTTCTGCCCTCAAGTCCACAGTCCTCTCCGTGATTGTGTTTGTCATAACACGCATCTCTGAGTTGGAAGTCCTGGTTTTGGGTGGTGTTTTATGGTTTCCAAGTCACGCTGGATTCTGGCATTACAGCACCAGACACCCACACACGTACACATGGATACTGTATCAGTGTTTAGTTACAGGGTGATGCACTGGCTGAGTATCTAAATAGCTAGCTAACTCCCCAGGCAAGGAAACATCGCTCGTTTCGAGAAAAGGATGCATCACGTTTCCCATATAGCACCTGCTAGTGATCAGAATTCCTTTAGCGCTACTGGACTGTATGTTGGTAAAATGTTATAGACCTGCAGTCTTTCAGGGCGCAGTTTGGTGGTTTCTCCAGCAGGGAGCATGATAGAGGAGGAATGCATTATGTTGACAAGTTGGCTCTTTTATACTTGTTTATGTTTTATTTAGCTTGAAGATGCAGGAGTTGTTTATTTACCTAATGGCGTTCGCGTGATATGTCATAGTTGCGTGCCAGACAAGGGCTTGAGTTCACATTATTGGAATGATAATAGCAGCTTTCCTCAACCCAGGGGTGGAGTGAAGGGCAGCTTCCCTTCACAGACCCTCCGCTCTCTTCCTCCTTCTCACTTTTACCCTGTGCCTTTCTCTGCACATGGATAGTGGAGTCCCCGTGATGCTTTCCAGATGTCTCAGCTCAGCGACCAGATTGACAAAACCCTACATCTTCTCTTTAAGTTGTTCTCATTCGTGTCCTTTAAAGAACACATGCACACACACACTCTATCCTGCGTTTCACTGTGTCTTGGTAAGGAGACAATTTCTTGGCACAGAAAATATTTTTAATATAATCCTTCTAAAGGATGGCTCACGCTGCAGAGAAATAGCCACTCTGTCCTTTCAAAATGTGATTTTAATCTGTGCCACATCAGGATCAAATAAATGTCTTAATACATGGTTTCCTTCCTGAATTAAAGTTGCTGTTTTCTTTGTGAGTTTGTTGCCAGTGCATGGATTTTATGATTTTTGTGTTCCTGTCCGTTCATTTCCATTTAATGCCTGTGGATGCATCATTTTGACCCATTGTTCATCCATTTGTAAAATCAGCCATTGAATCCTAACAATGCGTCTTTGTTTGTGTCTTTTTATATTTAAAAAAAAAAAAAAAAATTTGGATTTTTAAGATCCAAGCCAAAAACTGTCTCTTTAACTCTGTCTACTACACTAGAATAAACCCCGCTTTCCTAATGTGTCATCTGTGTTTTCCGTAGGGTTCCCTTTCAAATGAGCGCGACTATGAGACGGTGGTGATGATGAGGATGAGGCAGGCTGCCGAACGTCAGAGGCTCATCGAGGAGATGCAGAGAGAGGACGACGAGGAGGCTGCAGAGTCGTAGCTTTAGTTTCATAAAGCCTCTTGTGTTTTTCTTTTATTGTTTTATTGTAACATAGTGTGGAAAATAAACCCTTTTGATAAAATAAAGCAGTGTTTTCATTTGTCTTGTTTTCGCCTGTATATTGATGATGTATGACTAGGTGCAATGTAGAGAAGTTAGACCTGCTGTATGTAGTGCCACACTACACAGCTACTGAAACAAAGCTTATCAGAAAGGCCGGAGAGAACGCTGTAATTGTTAGTTTGAAATTATAAAACTTCTATTAATTCAGTTTTCTGTCTTGCTTTAAAACCGAGATTAGTCAGTAATTTTTTTTATAATTATTTTTAATATGTTTTAATGTATGATTTGTGGGTGGTGTGGTTCACATAGGTGAATCTCAAGTGAAATGTAATTGAAAAGTTTATTTCAAGAATTCAAAAAGGGAAACTCATATGAGAGTGATTCATTAAAAACAAAGATACATTTACCATTGTTTTTAATCATCAAATTAATGATGATTATAGCTGACTGTTAATCCCTAAAGAAAGCAAAAATTGTTTCTCATAAAGTTGGAACATTACATAAATGTTCATTTCTGTATTAAAAAGTGATATTTAATCCAGAAATGTTGGGCGAATTACTGCATCAAGAATGCGATCACTCTGTGGCGCTGCTGGATATGCTTCCCAATCCTCTCAATTCTGCTGGCAGCTTGTGCACCATTTTCTTTTTAACAGTTTTCCTTCCACCCAATTTTCCAGTAAAATGCTTATAAACAAAACTCTGTGATCACCTAGCTTCTTTAGTTATTACCTTCCATTGGTCTACCTTCCTTATGGAGAGATTCAATGACTTTCCACTGGACAAAGGTCAAGTCGGCATCTTTTCCCATGATGACAATTTCTGAATTAAAAATTTATTTTTCAGTGGTCTTGTGTATTTCAAAGTTATTTTCCTTCTTGTAATTCAGTCAAAAACATGAAGACTGACGGATCGAGTTTTTCTGTAAATTCTTATGTGGCAAAAACCATAACCCTAAGCATGAACAGGAATAAGTAACTAAAATCCATCACTTTGTGTGTCACTTTCTGGACTGAATTACTGAACTTGGTTAATTTTCCAATGATATTTGAATTTATTTAAATTCACCATTACATCCAGATTTGTTTTCCTCACAACTTTCGCAGACACCTACGATATTTGACGATTCGTTAATTTACATACTCAGCATCTTAGATTGTCAGAAATCACAAAAAAAGTTTGACTTTTTGTTCAAATCCCATCCATGTCATACAGAGAGAAATATTTTGGTTTTGCTTATTTTTTTTCTGTGCAACACCAACAAGCATCAATTCACGACACATCATGGGTGCGTGCTTAGTCTTGTTGGGTTTTAAAAATGCCAGATTTGGCTGACTGGGCAGCAAAATAAGCTGTGAAAATAGCTCCATGATGTAATGTTCATCAGTCAACCATTATGTGGCCAAATGTGACAAGTTATTACCTCATTACTTGTACCAAACAAGTTTTGACGTACAAATCTTTCTTCCCTGTAGCTTGCATACTTTATCAGCTACTTTAGGGTAAGTCGGGGGCAGTCCAAACCACAGACCGTGTGATGTGACTGTGTGGAAATAATTTCTGCCCCATGTTAAACCAGTAATCAAGCTGTGATTGGAACACTAGGTACGCCTTTATGGAATTCTTGTGGGTTCATTGTGATGAAAAGCAAGCTCACATTGGAGGCTCTCCATTTTACATCTGATGGTTGGGATGATAGTTCCTCTTGGTTTTCTGTTTCCAAATATCCTCGCCTCACTGAGGAGGCCTTGGCTTTTATTTATTTATGGTGCTGTTTATTGAGCTCCCAGTTTTTGCTCCACTTTAATTGCTTTAATATTTGCACGTGATCTCTGCAAAACATTTATTTTTGAACGTTTCTTGGAACGTTATGTGGAACATTTCTTGAATGTGCTCTGAATTAGGGCATATGATCAACAAAGCCCTTAGCTAAAAATTTACAGCAACTGTTGTGGATGATACTTTAGACATTGTGTTTGCTGCTTTTGTTAATGCAGCAAACACAGTTGGATAGTTCATGCTGAAAATGGTTCAGTATCATTTACTGATTCACTTTAGGATATTTCATTATCAAAACAATTTTTCACAGGTTACAAAACAACCACTGTTGGTGACTAATAGACATATGAGACAACTTTTGAGAAACGGAAACAAATTATGAAATACAGAAATAAAAATATCTTTACATGTAAGACTCAATGCAGGGTTAAGTTTGAGTTTTCCAATTTTGTGTCATATTAACCTCACGCTGTTAGGCAATCGCTGCTAATCCCTGTAAAACCCGTGTGCTTTCAGTCATAGTTAAATGTTACTTTTTTTTGCTTTGCTTTTGGTTTGTCTGTGCGCCCAGAAACCCAGCATCTTCTTTTATTATCACACAGAACTAAAGATCTGAGTTCAAATCCTGGCCTGAAGTCTTTCTGCAGTGTTTGCAAGTTATCCCTGGGCATCCATGGACTCCCTTTGGGTGCTCCATGTATTTTTGAAAGGCTTTGCATTGGGGGCATGGCAGAAGCCTGTATAAAAATAATAATAAAAAAATAAAAAAAATGCTATATTTTAAGAATGGCATTTTCACGACAAGTATGTGTAAACTGCTGACCAGCACTGCAGTCTAGGCTTTTACACAAACACTTCTCTTGTGCATTCACCAGACTCTTAAAAAGAGGACTGCACGTCCTTCCTATAACCATTTAATTGTTGTTTCAGGATTATTTAAAAGCTGTTTTTGTTGGGAGACTTGCATTGTTGATTGATGTTCACCTCATGCTCAGTACTTCTTGTACTACGCAGGACACGGGCCCCTACTTTTTTTAAAAAATATATATTTTCTGTTTTTACAGGATGTAAAGCCAACATTCTGCAATAACATTTGTGTTTTTGCACTTCTGGGTTTCCATTCGCACACTTTCACTCCAACTCCGCTTTTGCTCGATCATGAAACGGGCCGCAGAGCGTGCTAAATTAAAGAACACATTTTGAAATATGTGTTCTGCCCCTTTATATCGACCCTGACAAATTTTGATTTGTTGCTCCTAGATATTTCACAATAATCTTATGCAACATGCAAAATCCTGCAGAGATTTTGCTTATTTATGCTCTGCTAAGTGACACGCTACCATTCTTTGACACACATTCGGCCAGTCCTTCTTGTGGTCACCATGAGTTTTGTAACAGAATCTTTTTGCTTGGGAACATACATCTTGCCAGAACGGTCTGTTTTCCTAGTCTCTCTGGCGTAATGGTGTGTCTACTGCTCTTTGTCCTGTCATTGTGTTATTTAGGAGCCACATGGAAGCTTCGCAACAACCAATCCAGTCATGCATCCCCCTGCCACTCCTGCGCTGCTTCTCCACAGCTCTGTTACACAACGTCCAGCTGTTAGTTGTGTGGTGGGAGACATCTGCTCCTCTCCTCCCGCAAAATCCCCTCATAACATGGTTTTGTTTATCTGTATCCTTCTCCTCTACCCCAGCAATGTGATATATATATAAAAAGTAAAAAAATCAGAAACACACCACCTCTGTCTGAATGACAACAGAGGAAACACAGTCACAGGAAACACATTCACCACTAAAACTGCCCAAAGCCAACAGTGGTTTCTGCTGCTGCATGCAAACCAGCAGGGGAGGACGACCTTGTTACAGCATCATTCTCAGGAAAGATTTAATGTCTTCATAGCATCGTAGCCGTCCTGTCTGAGGATGATCTTTCTCTGCTTCATCTTCAACTTGGAGAAGGAAGCTGTCATGTATTAGGCAGCAGGTCTTGTTAAGAGTTTGCCTGGCAACGAATCTGGGCTGCAGGTTAATGATCTGGGCTGGCCCCAAACTCACGCTGGCAGACCCGGGGCTCAGATGAAACCACCCAGTGTGTTTTGGAGGCCGAAGGCAGGCTCTTTCATGCCTGACATGCAAGTGTCTTATCCTAAATTATAAAGAATATTTTCAGGGTGTGACGTATGTTTATCAAGTTTTGTGCATGACGGGTGGCTTGCAAGATGCTGCACATACAAATCCTAATAAAAGCGTTCATATCCTTTAAAGTTTAAGTTTTGTCGTATTAAAATCAGAAGCTGTGATCTATTTTACTGTGATTCTGAGTGACATGGCCGTGTGTCAAGGTGGTTTACAATTTATGTGAAAATGAAATCATACACATGGTTTTCCAAATTAAAAAGGTAAATATAAAACTTTTGACAATTATCATTTCACTTTTGACTATTTACAAAACAGTTCAGGCTCAAATACAGCAGAAGAAGAAGAGGATAATTTTTCATATTTTGCCACAAGTGGGTTTGTGCCTGGATTTTTATTGGGTCATTCTAACCAATCTACTTTGATCTGGACGTGAAGAAAAGCTTTCTCAAATCAATCGATTGTGATGTAACAAGATGTGACAAAGTAAATGCTTTTGCTATGCAAGGTGAAGCAACAAATGTTTTTATTTTTAGATAACAATGGTTTGCTTATTGTTAAAATGCATGTATTTATTATTTATTGTTAAAAAAAACATTTGAGATCTCCATATTATTTATTCATAAACAAAATGCTAATTTAATGTGCAGACATCTTTCAGCACAAGTACAACAAACTTGAGGGTTCTTTTCCCCCCTGCATGACAGAAACATTCTCTGACTTCATATGGACAAATAACTTCAACGCACCTGCAGTGAACAACATTACTAACAAATGGTCCAATAAAATCTCTGGAATGTGGTTCCACCATACCGGCAACCTGTTCAATCAGAAACCTTATAGAAAAGATTTCCTTAGTTTTAAAGTTGCTTTCTCTCATCTGTGGTAATAAACGTAACATAACAAAGTGAAAAAAAACCCAAAAAAAACCAGATATGAATTTCACCTTAGCGAAATTCCTCAGTCTTTTTTGAAGGCTATCAGGTGATAAGTCACTCCGTCTCTTTGTGGAGACACCACACCAGCGTCTGTCCCACTCCCGTCATCGACAGCACGCGGAAGCCAATCTTCTCCAGCTTGTCCAGCACCAGGCGAGGTGGGTCGTCCACATGGTATTCAGAACTAAAATAAGCATAAACAAAGTAATTCTGCCTTCCACAGATGTGGGATTTCTCTCTTTCAGTAAACTCTGCTTGGAAAGTACATGGCTGCTAAGTGTTCTGGTGCTCATTCACTTCCTTCCACACCTTGGTTCATTTCCCAGAAGGATCTGAATCAGATTGCCAATGACAACACTTCCCTGTTCTGTAACCCATCACCTTGAATGGTTTACTCTCAATCTGTGAAGCAGAAGCTTTCCTCAACCACACTTTTTTTGTTCCAGCCAATTGACTTGATCTCAGCTCTGCTGTCAATATGTGCGCTTTAACAGCCAAAAAGAAAGAAACACCCACTTTTAACTGTCAAAATTGAGAAATACGGCCCTGCGAGATTTTTCACCAATCCAGCTCAGCTCTGCATGTCTGTGGAGGTCAGCATGAGAACAGTGCCTTTAGAGATGACTCTTTTCAGTTTTGTCAGATGACGATGGAGATAGACGAAGTTTTACAGGATAGTTTTAACCCCAAATTTATCTGCAGCGTGTCACAAAGCACCATAAGTGTTTCCATTTGCAGCCACTCACAAATTGTTTCCCAGCATGGTTGTTTTTCTCGCCCCCAGGTAACTCATGATAGCTGGATCAGAAAATTCGTCTCCTACATTCGTTGGACCAGACTCCTGAAAAACAACGATTTGATATCCATCAACAATTTGATTTTCTCAATGAATGTCTCTGGCTATTATTTATGCAACGGTAGCGCCGATGCAGACCTCTGGCAGGTACAGGATAATAAACAGTAATAATATCAGGGCAGGCTAAAAATAGATGATCTAATACTCAGAGGCAAGAGAATTAGGTTGCTGGAGCTGAGCAGGCTGGGAAATGAACATGCATGATAAAAGAAACAGAGACAGATGCAATACGTGTAACAGTATTTAAGACAATGGCAAGAAATACATTAAAAAAGGCTAATTTTTCAAGCTGTGTAAGGTGCCAAATATGCAAAAGGACAGTAAATAAAATAAATTTGCTTTTACATATACTACAAATAAAATTACATTGGAACTGGATACACTTATTTGATGAATAGCTAAATGTAATAGCATAAATCACATCATCTAAATAATTTCTGTAACTTACAGCTAATGAAAACCCAAAATTCATCCAGTCACTACACCAGCTTACCATTTCATGGTTGTGGACTGATGAGGACTTTAACAGATTGTCAGTCTGTCACAGACCAAAATTTTAATTTCCCTGATAACCATTTAGAAAAAAATTGATTCAATACAGAAATGGTAAGATCTGGTCACGTTATGGCCGACACCGCCATGGGCGGCCTTGATTTTGTCCTGCAGACAGTCACTGAGACCTTCCACAAAGAGAGTCACTGTTAAACTATGCCTCCTGTTTACAGAGGGCCTTTTTCAAACTTGTTAAGAAAAACTCTAACGAAAGGAAGAAGTGTGGCAGAAAAAGGTGAACAAATACAACTGATGGCCATGAGAGGACAGTGAAGCAAAACCAATTCAGGAGTTTGGGGGAGACGCACATGAGGCATTGACTGAGGTTGGAGTCGGTGCCTAAAGCGAAATCTCAAACTAAAAGTGTTCAATTTTTTTACTTAAGCCACACGAGTCAGAGACAGTATGGAAAGAGTTCTTCTTGGGCTACGCTTATAATGTCTTTATTAATGCATGGATGTTATGGAAGTGCACAATATGTCTGCATGGCGTATCCCTCTGTCCAAGGCATTTTGTTCCCCCAGGGAGACAGATAAAAAGACTTTGAGCTTGACTAAAGAACCTACTGCTCAGTGGTCCAAAGACCTCTTCTCAAATTAGAGTTCACTTTGCATATTATTTGTAGATTAAGGTCCCAGAGTCTGGTGGAAGAGTGGAAAGGCACACAAGATTTCTACAGTCAGTGACGATTTGGGGAGACTTTTCAGAGGACTTCCCTCTGTTGACCAGCTTAATGGAGGTGTTGCATTCATTTTCCAGCTGACTCGGCAGCAGTGCACACAGGCAAAAGAACAAACACCTGATTTCATAATGGTGATATTACTGTGCTGATTGGTGAGTAAGTTGGCCTTAACTAAACCCTGCAGATAATTTGTTTGATTTTGTCAAGAGCAAGACATTAAAAATTATTTTTACTGGTCTTATGAAATTTGAAAACATTTTTAGAAAATTACATTGAGGGCTTTCATTTGTTAAGAATATGACTTGAAATTCTATCCATCTAAGTACGATAAATTTATTTAATAAATGAGTTTCACTTTTTGGACTCATTAACAGAATAAATGAATAGGATATTCTAATTCATTGAAATGCATTTTAATACTCATTAAGATTTTAAGTCAGTAAAACTGTATAAAAGAACAATTATTTTGTCATTTGTACCCTGCGGTGCACTGTGAAAAATTTTAACTTTTGTCTTGCCCAATAATAATAATAATAATAATAATAATAATAATAATAATAATAATAATAATAAAAACATTAGATTTAATTGGTTACCCTACAGAGCTTGGCCAATTATATTCACAGGAGCCTTGCTCTGTGACTGTGATGGGAAAAATGTGTGCTGATCCATTCATCCAGAAAGTAACTACATAGCTATTTAAATACAGAAATAGCTATGTGTCAATTTCAAAAATAAAACTAATAATTCACCAGCATTATGTATTTATTGAATTAACAGTTATTTGTTTTCAAAATTAACTTAACAATTTGACTATGGTTTGAATTGTGCCACTGTTGGAGCTCCATACCCCATGGAGGCTTGTCTGCTTTCCTCTGCATGCAGAAAATAAGAGGCCTCCAGATAAATATTAGGTTCAAGTGACAACTAAGATTGATAAGTAAAACACTGGGTGCCGCAGAGGCTAAATAAACAAATCCTGCAATCTCCAATCCAAGCAATGCTTCTGTAAAAGCAAGGCACGAGTTATTTATGTGGGATATATACACACCAGTCGGATCTGCGTGCTGATGAGCATGTAAGGCATCCCTGCCCCTTGGCTTTGGTCCTGTTATCCCCTGGGAATGACTCGAGAGGTGCCTTCAAAGACGCGACTGCCTCTGCACAACTTGCGCTCCTGCTGTCAGCTCCGTACGGAATGCGGAAACACCCACCGTGACTGGCCAATCACGGCTCACCCTCGGCCAGCTCTGCAGACACGGCATGTTACTCAACACCACCGCTGGTTTATTGACACGAGAATGAGAAATGTTGGCCAGTGTGTGCACATAGAACAAATGTTTTCATTCGGTTTAATTAAAGTTGTGTATTTTTACCTCTTCTCTGCAAATATTTTCTTTGCAAATATCGGCCGGGAATTCAGGAGCAAACTTCCCATTTATTCAAGACGCATTACACATAAGTTTTATGTAATATACACGTTTTTTTTGTTTGTTTGTATTTCAGAACATTTAATCTGAAATTGCAGCATAATTGTGAATATATTTGCCCATGCTTTGTTTGCATTTTGTTTGATTTTTTTTCCTGCTAGAGTATTAATAATTTGAATTCTGGGGACTAGAGAGTAATGGACTCAGACTGTTTAAAAAATGATCAAAGACGTAGGTCAACTTCTTTCAATGAGATATTTAGAAGAGTGACTCATTTTTAGTTGTATTTATTTGAAGAAATCTGTCGGGGGCAACTGCTTTTATCTTGGAAATAATAACAAAGCCATGATGGAGTAAAGTTTAGATTAAAATCCAGGCTTTTGGGCGTTTATGCTGATAATTTGCTTACAGGGACATTGATATTTCAAGTCTTTATTTTCTTGTAATCTTTTGTGATTATAGTTTACAGACGAGACAAATTCTGAAGGCTGTGGTTATCTCTATTGCCCATTTTTCCTACCACACTTTTTTCTTCCACTAAGCTTTTTATGAATATACTTCTTTAGCAATGACCTTTTGTGACTTGCCCTTCTGTCAGATGAATTAGCTACTCTCTGGATCATTTACAGAGAAAAAGCAACTCTCTATGGAAGCAGCCTCATGTTTTTATCAGTTCTTTTCAAACAGACGTCCACTTCTTCAGAGAACCTCCCACGCCGTTCAAAACAGACTGCTCTCTGTAAGCAGTCTCTCCCTGTTTCCTGGACTCCTGCTGTGTCTTCCTGCACTTGTTCATCTGCTGCTGGTGATTAGAGTCAGAGGGCAGCTCCTCTGTAACCTGTGGTGAAACGTCCCTGGTGGGTTCACACAAAACACTTTGACCTTTTGACTGGATCTTGGATCTTGGTGTTCGACTTCCCAGCTGGAGTGTGGTCGTAGCAACACATCCATAAAGTCTGAAGAGAACATGATAAGAAAAAAAATTAAATTTTAAGTCATTTGGACTTAAATTGATCAATCTTTTGTTTTTCAAATCATTCAGTCGTGATTTATTTTTGCAGTCATTGTCCTGCTGTGAGAGAGATATATATACAACCTTATGTCAAATTTTAATCGGATGATTGATTGATGGCCTTAATTAATTGAT